TGGGCGACTCGTTCACTCTAGGCATCCTCCCCCCCCCCAAATTCCAACACCCAAGGGTGTTTTCCAACACTCCAGCAATCCCATAAAGCAATGGTCCCCAAACCTTGGGGCCTCCAGATGTTCTCGGACTACAACTCCCAGAAGCCTTCACCACCACCACCACCACCTCTGCTGGCCAGGATTTCTGGGAGTTTGAAGTCCCAAGAACCTCTGGAGGCCCCCCAAGGTTTGGGGGAACCACTGCCTTAAAGCACTGATGAGGGAGGCAGGGCTTCCCAGATGTTATGGACCCGAATCCCCAAAATCCCCAACCTGCACAGCGCCCACAGTGAAGGACTACTGGCTTTGTTGTCCGATGCAACTGAATACCCCAGGACTCAAATCCTGTGTAACCCCCATGATAAAGACGGGGAGCCTTACTGGGACCTCCCTTTGTTGTCCGATGCAACTGAATACCCCATGGGTTTCCCGTCTCTCTTTTCCGTAAAAAAGACTCAGATCCTGTGTAACCCCCATGATAAAGGCGGCATTTCAATCCGAGCGGGGAGGGAGGTGAAGAGGCGCCGGTCACTCCCCCCTTTTCCTCCCAGGCCCTCCCGGCCTCCCCCTTCTGCCACGCCGGTCAGTCTCAGTCCAGACCCCGTTCCTTCCCGATATCTTCCCCGGAGGTCGGCCCGAGGCCTTCTCTTCTCACTCCCCCCGTCGCCGGAGCCCTCCCGCCACCCGCGGAGGCCGATGCCGGCGGATTAGCGGCGGGACCACAAGCTTACCCCGGCCGCCGCCATCTTAGCGAGGAGAGGAAAAGGAGGAGCGTCGAGTGAGGCGGCCGTAAAGCGAGTCGCAGCACGCCCTGCCGAAAAAATGCGACATTCCTCCCAGGCCACGCCCCTCCCGCTGGTGGGACGCGTCACTGCAGGGAGGCGGGGCCTCTTGGCGACCAGGCGGAAGGAGGCGGTTTATGACGTCGGAGCAGGAACACAGAAATAAAAAAAAGTAGAAAACCATCCTGTGGTCTCTTCCGGGTTCCCACGGGGAGGTTTCCCAAACTCTGTAAAAATGAATGGGAAAAATTTCAGATTTTGGAGTAAATGGCCAAACACGTGATAACAGGGGCTGGCACTTCTTTTTTTTTATATAATTCAACTATTAGTTCATGCGGCATATTTTTAAAGTTTGTCAGCAGGGGAAAAACAGACCTGGTCAAGCAAATTCTAATTTAAATGCAGTCATTTCAAGCCTAAGATTGTGGCTTGGGAAAAGTTGGGCTCAGAATGGCTTACAACCCTGCAGTGTAGTCCGGTCATATTGTATCCTTATTATGGTTTGGGAGTTAAAGACAACTCCAGCCGTGTAGTAGGAGCTGGAAATAAGACTGAAAAAGAGGGGCTCTCACACCAGCCCTGCAGTGTAGTCAGCTGTTAATTCTGCAGGTCAGAGAGGTGGGGAGGAGCTGGCCTGTATTTTTTTCCCTACAATTTTTCTTGTGCAGCTTGATTGGAAGTGGGCACACCCACATATGCCAAGTCAAATCTTGGGTGTCTTTATTCGTTTCTGCTGAAAGATCTCTCTTGCAAGCCCAAACAAGGAGTCAAATTAAAAAGAGTCAGTGTGATATAAAGATTAGGGTAACAGATCAGAGTCCGGGAAGATCTGGATTCAAATCCCCAATCTGGTCACGAAGCACCCCAGGCGACCAGCCACTCTTCCTCAGCTGGGCCTACCTCACAGGGTTGTGGTGAGGAGGAGAGCCTCGTGCACTGCCTTCAGCACAGCAGGGGAAAAGTGGGATATAAATATAAATCCACACTGTTGAAACTGCCTGCTTCTGTGCTGCTAGTTTTGGTGTTGAATTTGCCATCCAGACAATGCAAAGCACTTATCTCTGCTTTTCTGATTTTTTAAAAAACAAAATTCTCTTGGAATTATTTTTGGTGTTGAATTTGCCATCCAGACAATCCAAAGCACTTATCTGCTTTTCTGATTTTTTTTTAAATTTTCTCTTGGAATTATTTTATCTTAGCACTGCCTGCTAGAAGGGTCCCCCCAGGGATCATCAAGTCCAGCCCCTCTCCAGCAAGCCTAGTTTATTTTATTCTAGGTGGTGGTGGACATGAGCACGATGACCTTTTTCAGTGGGCAGTTCGTTAATGCATCAGAGTTTTATGATCAGAAACCTTTAGCTAGGTTTTTAAGTTAAGTTGATTTAAAAAAAAACCTCAACAGAATTCCATCAGGGATGGTTTCTTGCAGAAATAAATGGTTTTAAAGGAGTGTCTTCTTCACTGCAGTAATCTTTGACAAGGACTCCAGCTGACCGTGATCATGAAATACAGTAAATGGTTTTAAAGGAGTGTCTTCACTGCAGTGCAGTGATGTGACTCTTGGTAATCTTTGACAAGGACTCCAGCTGACCATGATCGGTTAGACCAGCAAAGCTTCTGCCTGTCTGAATAAGCTTGAAGTGGTCCAATTAATACATATACTGTACTGTATAGGTTATATATAGCCAACCGTAGCCATATTGCCCAAAGCTTCTGCCTGTCTGAATAAGCTTGAGAGGATTCAGTTAATACATATACTGTATATGCTATACAGTATATAGCCTAACCGTAGCCATATTGCTTTTGTAACAGCTTTGCTGCATGATTAGGTTTTTGCATACTAGACAAGAATAGATAAAGAAGGGAGGCCACCGTTACTTGTAAGTAACTGGTCTAATGAAAAGTCTTTCGTTAGGAAGCGACCTACAACGCATTGAAAACTGATTAATCCATAACAGGCCATTTTTATTCCGTTTTTGTTTTCTTCTGGTCTGTAGGTCGATTCTCCGGCTGCAAGTCGAACCTAACTTTTGCGGCCAGAGAAGTCTGTAACTCGAAAAGTCTGTAAGTCGAGCCGTCTGTAAATTGAGGGTCCGCTGTAGATAAAGAAGGGAGGCCACCGTTATTTGTAAGTAACTGGTCTAATGAAAAATCTATCCTTGGAAAGCGGGGCAATAGACACGAAGAAGTGATTTGCTGCTCAAAGCTGGGTTCATGCAGGAATGTGTCCCAATTATAGAGCCCCCTCCCATTTCTCCACCTCCTCCCGAACCCCTTGGTCCCTCTTTCATGGTATGCCTTATAAAAATGTATATTTTTGTATCAGGGGGTGCCCTTCTTCTCTGCATGTTTTCTGTGTGTGAAGTTTGCACCTATTTTGCTTGCTTTCAGCTGAAAATAAACTATCTATTGGATCTCTCTGTCTCTGGTCGATTGATTAATGTGTTTAGAGACAGGCAAAAACCCAGGAATTAGTCCTGGGTCCTTCACTGATTAATTTTGGGACCCTTCAAGCTCTCAAAGAAATAAAACAGAACTCTGAAGGGGGTGTCTCTTTATTTTATTATCTGGAGTGGCAGAAAGTGTTGGAGCTTTTACAACCTGGCATGGTGCCTGTAATTTGAGTTACTGGGAAGGTCTCTACTGGTTTGGGGTGTCTTGTCTATCCAGCGCTAACCAATTGTTCCATCCGGCCTCTGAACTACAAGAAAGTCCCACCTCTTTCCTCAGTGTTCCTTTTCATCTTGGTTGGAAGCAGATTATTTGTTTGTTGATCTGTTCACAACTGTCAATAACAAAACATTTAAATTGTTTTCTACAACAAATGTCTCAAAGCGAGTTACGAGTTATTGAGACTGTAAGTGCCAGTTAATGAGAAAGGTCTGGGCTTTGGGGAACTTGTAGCAATTGTTTTCTGTGAGACTCTGTATTTCTAATGCATATCACAAGGAGTTTCCTCAGTGTTCCGTTTCATCTCGGTTGGAAGCAGATTATTTGTTTGTTGATCCATTCACAACTGTCAATAACGAAACATTTAAATTGCTTTCTACAACAAATGTCTCAAAGTGAGTTATTGAGACTGTAAGTGCCAGTTAATGAGAAAGGTGTGGGCTTTGGGGAACTTGTAGCAATTGTCTTCTGTGAAACTCCGTATCTCTACTGCATATCAGAAGGAGTTTTACCAGAAATCCCAAACTCTGCAACAGGGGGAAAGTGGGGAAGGAACTTTGGTTTCCATATTGTCCTCATTTGTGCCGAGAAAAACAGCAGTATCCTTAGACTCATTGCAGGCCAGAAGCCTATTGGTAATTTACACCTGTATACAGGAAATCATGTAAATCTTGGGAGCGAATTGCTGCTTGTTTACAACATGTTGGTTGTGTTCCTGGATATGCATACGGTTACACGACGGGGCACACCAAGAATGCAAACAGCACCTCCTTAATGAATGATAAGTTTGTAATTAATTAGTGACAGTTTGTCACCACAACTTATGTGATTTCCCTACCATGTCCACCATATCGGTAGGATTCTGGCCACAGTCCTCCATGGCTAGGCGTGTGATATCAGACTCTCAACTGACTTGATTGCAGGCCAGAAGCCTATTGGTAATTTATACCTGTATACAGGAAATCGTGTAAATCTTGGGAGCAAATTGCTGCTTGTTTACAACAGATTGGTTGTGTTCCTGGATATGCGTACGGTTACACAGCGGGGCACACCAAGAATGCAAACAGCACCTTCTTAATGAATAATAAGTTTGTAAAATCATGTAAATCTTGGGAGCGAATTGCTGCTTGTTTACAACATGTTGGTTGTGTTCCTGGATATGCATACGGTTACACGACGGGGCACACCAAGAATGCAAACAGCACCTCCTTAATGAATGATAAGTTTGTAATTAATTAGTGACAGTTTGTCACCACAACTTATGTGATTTCCCTACCATGTCCACCATATCGGTAGGATTCTGGCCACAGTCCTCCATGGCTAGGCGTGTGATATCAGACTCTCAACTGACTTGGTTATTGGATTCCAGTTCCTTATTCCCTTGAAAGGGTCTAGAGGAAGATGCCAAGCAAATGGCTTTGTTGGTGACACGCGGTGTGAACATTTTCATGCTGTAGTAAGCGAGGGTTCTGCGGGGACATCAGGAACGCCCTGTGGAGCTGGATATGAGGCCAGTGTTTTATTTTGATCATTGTGATCATCCATAGCGACCATACTATCATTAGCATTGCCTTATCTCATCTGATTTTGGAAACCAAGGATGGTCTATACTGGTTGCTACTTGAGATGGGAGACCACCAGGGAATACCAAGGGCTGCTTGGAGGTGGGGCTGCCATCCCACCTTGTATGCTGAAGTTCTCAAGGTCAGTCCTCAACATCTCCAGATGTCCTCCTTAAAGTCTGCCAAACTGCTTCTGACTTATTGTGATCCTAGTAGGGCTTTTGAACTAGGTGAGATGTTCATGCAGCAGTTGACCATTGCCACAACCCAATGAATTTCTAGGAGTGAGAAGGGATCCCAGTCCAGCCATTTGAACCCAGGTTTCCTGGATCCCAGTCCAGTCCTCTGTTCACTAGACCAGTGGTCCCCAACCTTGGGCCTCCAGGTGTTCTTGGACTACAGCTCCCAGAATCCTTCACCACCACCTCTGCTGGCCAGGATTTCTGGGAGTTGAAGTCCAAGAACATCTGGAGGCCCAAGGTTGAGGACCACAGCACTAGACCACACTGGCTCTGACATCTCCAAATCGGGATAGGAAAGGATCTAGCCTAAGAACCTTTAGAGCTGCCGCCAGCCAAGGTGTGATTAGGACAGAGAATCAGGATCATGTTGAGTTGCACTGAAAAAGTCCCATCCGTGGATGTGATCGCTTTTCAAGCAACCCTTTCATGCACACACAATCTGGTGTCCATCGCTCCAGCCGAGCTCCACAAAAAGCTTGCATTCAGAGTAAGCCTGCCACTGAACTGGAAGTGGCCCAGATAGGCACCAAACAGGATCGGGCCGGTCCTCAATTTCCTTGAACATTGGCTGGTCACTGGAAATAGATTGAACCGGCTCTGCCAAGAGCAGTCCAAAACATGAGCTCAATTGCTATCTGATTGTACCCGCAGAGTTGACCATACTGGGCTAGAGGAACCAAAGGTCTTGTCATCATCATAAACATCATCTGGAAGGGACCCTGTGGGTCATGAGGCGCAGTGGGGAATCGAACTCCCAGCCTCTGGTTCCTCAGGCAGAAACCTAAACCACTGAGCTATCCAGTAGCTTTTCCTTTGGCTTTGTGTGTCCCTCTGTGACCACATGCTTACGGGAAGCACACCAGCAGCACAAAAGGGCTACAGCACCCCTTGTCTCACATTCTTTAGCAACTCAGATACAGAGGGTCTCTTGTGTTAACTGTACTGCCTGTTTTGGCTGATACTGGAGGTGATTCATAGCCATCTTGGCTTGTAGCCATGGGTGGCCCTAACCCCTGTGAACACATCCAGTTCCCTTGTAAAGCTGATGATGGGCCAGCCAGCAGTAATTTCTGCTCCCTGCAGTAAGAAAGCCTTTCTGTTTAAATGTGGGCGATGTGCATCCATATTATAGAGCTGGAAATAAAGTCTTGTATTTCCAAGACTTCCCAAGTTTCCAGCCCTCTTGTTTCAGAGGAAGCTAAACCTGCAGCAACAGAGTTGCTTTTCTCTTCCATTGGAACACACCCTTATGAATTTTATGTAGTATGCTAGGTGCATTTAATCTTGGAACAGATGTACTAAAGTTTACAAAGTCTTGGACATAGTGTTGTTGGTAGCCCTTAATGTGCTGGGGGCTGGAGCACTATGCACAAACTTAGAAACATCCTGATCTTCAAGGTCATAGTTTCATAGATCTTGTGATTTTCAAGTCGGCTTCCTCTTACTTTAACTGTAAATTCTCCCTGGCTTTCTTCTTACAGATCAAGGCAAGCTCTTCAAATGCCATGCTTTTGTCTGTTCTCCGCCCAGCTGGTTCCAGCATCAGATCAAGTGTCAGGTTGCTTCAGTCTCTACTTAGGAGTAGGTTTTTTTAAAAGAAACCTTGCTGCACAGTTGCAAATAAAAGTCCGAACAGCCACCTAAATGAGGCAAGACTTCACACTCCCTCCTCTGCAGGAGAAACCCTGCCCAGCCCAATCAGAAGGAAGGTCCGTCCTTGATCTCTACCTGGGGTGTGGCTAGAAGAGTCATCCCTTTGCAGATGAATCCAGAAGAGGAGAGGAGCAGACGCTGTCCGGGGCTCCAAGGGAGGCAGCAAAGATAAAGCATTTTCCAGTTTCTTAGACGAAGAGTGAAGGATTTATCTCAAGAGCGATAAAGCACTGCGAACAGAGTGGACTTTGGTTTACCAAGGCACGTGTCCTGCATGCCTTTCTCACACGCAAACGAATATCCATTGATTGGGTTCATGATTCTTTCCTGGAGTATTGCTACAGGTGGGTGATTTGCTGGACCCCGAGGAGAAGGAAACCTTCCACGCCCAAGATGTCCAGAGGCTCCGTGGCCGAAGCCACCCCACCGTCGTACCTTTCAGCCAGTCCCTTCCCTTTTGCAAAGATGGAGGCGAGTGGACTCTCCGAGACTCTTTGGAACCACGGAAGCGTCACGGATCCTGGCCTCTGGAACGGGTCCTCCGAGGGAGATTTTAACCTTGAGTGGGACGACGGTGCCTTGGGATCCTCCGACGTGTCCTTCGGCTTGAGAATATTCATCACCGTGGTCTACTCGGCGGTCTGCGCAGGGGGACTGCTAGGAAACGGCCTTGTCATGTCCTTGATGTGGCGCCAGAGGAAAAGGGGACCCATGCCTGTCATCAACATTTTCGTCTTCGCTTTAGCAGTGGCCGATTTCCAGTTTTCCTTGACGTTGCCGTTCTGGGCGGTGGAAACCGCTTTGGATTATAGCTGGGTGTTCGGCCAGGCCATGTGCAAAGTCATCCCTTCCTTCACGGTCCTGAGCGTCTACATCAATGCTTTCTTGCTCACTGCCATGAGTGTCACACGCTACTGGTCAGTGGCCTTGGCTATCAAGGGTGGCTCGAGGCTGACCTCTGAGGGGGCCAAGTGGGTCAACCTGGCTCTCTGGACCCTGGCGCTGGGAGCCACGATGCCCACCATCATCTATGCAACAGTCGTGGACGTTGCCAAGGAGAAATTATGCATTTTCAAGTTCCCCGCCCCTTACCTTTTGGGCGTCTACCACCTGCTGAGGGTGGTGGTGACTTTTGTGCTTCCGTTGTCCATCATCTCAACCTCCTACCTGCTCCTCATCCGGTTCCTCGGGACTCATCATAGGAGAGGCGACCACTCAAAGAGGCAGAAGCAGGTGGCCACCACCATACGTCTGATTGTTGGTGGCTTCTTTCTCTGCTGGTTTCCTAACCACGTGGTTACCTTCTGGGGGGTTCTGGTCAAATTCAAGGCTGTGTCTGTGGGCAAAAGCTTTTATTTCCTCCACACGTACATCTTCCCGCTTGCTACTTGCTTGGCTCACTCCAGCAGTTGTCTGAACCCCATCCTTTACTGCCTGATGCGCCGCGAGTTCCGGCAAGGGATGAAGGACATATTTAGGAGATTCTCCTCAATGGCTTCCTCTTATCGGCCTTTTTCTTCCCAGAAGCCTTGGGAGGACGTTGTGGTTCTGCCTCTGAGTCCAGCGGTAAATGCCCGTGATCCTCAAATGAGAGGAAAAGAAGACTCCACTTTCTCCACTATTTTGGAGCCAGGAGCCGCAGTACGAAACCTGAGCCTGGAGATGATGCCAGGGGTCGAAACGCCATTGTGACTCTCTGGATATTAATATTCCTCACGTACCTCTCTGGAGTGATTGGGGAGCAAAGATTACTGGATCTTCAGGAACATTGGTTGGTAATAATTTTGCCAAACTCTGGCTGTGGATTATGGAGGAGGAGGGAGGATCAGGGAGGCTACATATTTTTTAAAAAATCATCAACTTTTAATTTTTTTAACTAAGGGATAGGGTAGGGACTACAAAAGATAAAAGGAAGTGGGAGAGGAAGGAAAAAAATAGAGGATAGGAGAGCACAAAGTATACAATCATCCAATCTTTTCATATTTCAATAAGAAAATCAACTACTTTTTCTCTCCTTTTTTTTATTTGATTGCCCTCCAGATATCAACCTGTAATTATATTTATATTTAACTCTATGTTGCTCCAACACCATCAGGATATCGAGACCATTTAGAAAATACATCCCGTCGTTCAAGTTCTCTCCAGATATCAACTTATAATTATATTTAACTCTATGTTACACCATCAGGATATCAAGACCATTTAGAAAATACATCCTGTCGTTCAAGTTCTTTCTGCCTTAGACACATCTACAAATATATCCATTTCTGTCATTTCCCATATTTTTTTCGGTACTCTCCTTAGAAGAAAAACATAGATCCCAGACTCTAATCCAGTTTTTGACATAACCATTTCTGACTGTGGTGTCTGAATATCACACTGGGTTATTCTTCTGCCCATCTATTTTATCTGGTGTGGCAGTCAATACCAACAATTCTGGACTTAATACAGTTTCATTTAACTTCGGTTTAGTCCCTGGTAAATCCTCTTTCATCAGATCTTCCATCTGGCTGAGATGTTCATTTACCTGCTGGAATCCTGTTATTACAGTATTATCTTTTGCATATCAGAATTTTGTTCCCCTATTCCCATATTTTGGGTTTGGACTCAAAATAAGGGAGGCTACATTTTGATGACCTAAGTTGTAAGATCCTGCTCTACAATTCAATTTATCCTGCATCCACCCTTTCAGTAGTCTTTGGCCCGGTGTGATTCGAAGTGCCCTTCTGTTTTCACCATTTACACTGGGTTTCTGCCACAACCCCTCCGCCCTGATAATTTTGGTGCCCGGACGTCTTTCAGTGGCATCCAAGAAAGGAGTGGGAGGGGAAAAACGCTTTGAGAATGTTTATAGTTGTGAAAACCCACCTGACCTACGATTTTATGGGCTGTTTTGAATCCACTTTTATATGTCCAAGTGCTGTTATAAAACAAAACACACAATGATCTCAGGGAATGGTCCGGAGAGCTTGTTTAAGAGGTGTGGGGGGCCATAAAACATCATTTAAAAACAAGAATGTTTGTGCCATAGGTATTATGGGCCTTTTCACAAGAAACCCATAGGTTGTAAAACCCAGTTTTTTTTTAAATTATGCACACAGTCTCCATAGCAGAAGGCTCCAAACACACAAAAATCTATTCACTTCCCTATGTTTATCATTTTTAAAAAATCCTACTCCAATTCTTATAATTTTTGGTACAAAATTTTATTTATTTAAAATATTTTAGCCCATCTTTCTCAAAAGGATCCATGCCAATAAATGCTTTTTAAAAATTGAATAGATTACCTTGCCTCAGAAGGTTTTTTTCTGTTCTAAGTAAGAAGAAATCTCCTTTTTTGGGTGAGAATTTGCCAAAAGGAACTAAAATTAAATACTTAACATCTTCCTTTTCATATTAACACAGCTAGCAGGGGTGTGCCTGGATGCTCCTGGCCTTAGCCTAGCCCTCCTCCCCTTTGTCGCTCCTATGGCAGGTTCGCTTCCTATTTGGAACTGGGATATTTTTCACAGGGAACTCAAAAATAACCCCCCGACCCCATTTTCTGCATGCGTTTAGACTCTTATCCTTGATCTACCAAGCTCAAAAATTATATATTTAGTTTTTGGTCAGACTGGCTGGCACACTCCCAGCCTTAATATCCTTTTGTAAAGTCCTGTTAAAAAAAAGGGAAATGGGCTGTTGAAGGAAAAGGGGGGAAATATCCAGCACTATTAAAAAAACCTTCAGGATAGCTTTCTCAGAATGACCTGTGTCCGATCAAAGTGTTTTGCTGTGTTATTCCTCTGATATAAGGTAATTGTGTTCTTAGGCAGCCTGAGATTCATATCAGCCGTGGCGCTTACTTGCATTCTCTAGGCCCGATCAACCAAAACAAAAATATCAAAGGTAGAAGACACACAAAAGACCAGCTAATGATACTCATCAATCACAGTGACAGATAATCTCTCCTCCTTTTCACAACAATACACCCAAAACAAGACACACTAATCACCCATCTCCTGAAAAGGACAAAAGCTGATCTAACAGCCCTAAATACTCCACTCCAAAGCTAACTACACCAGAGCACAGAGTGTTGTCCTCTGAAGATGCTGGCCACAGAGACTGGCAAAACGTTAGGAAGAACAACCTTCAGAACATGGCCAAAGAGCCCGAAAAGCCCACAACAACCATCAAAGGTAGAAGACTGGAGAAATGGATGGATTTCTCCTGTAAAATAATCCCATAGAGTTTTTTCCCCCACTTCATTTCTAGCTTTTTTGGCTGCTAACTAAGCAGTCGGTCACACGTCTGGACCTCCTTGTGTCCTCAGTCGTTTTAACCTTCTTTTGATTTCCTCACAAGAAACCTCAGGTCCCCCTTCCTCCCCCCAAAAAAGAAATATATATATATGGGAAAGAATTTGCGGTGGAAAAAGGAAAAAAGGGACAGAGAGGAGGGGCAGTTGACCCCCCTAAAGAAGACCAGCAATCGATCGCCCTTTTCCAGATCCGAGCATGCAGAGAATCCATAAGAATGGGAAAGAATAAGATTGCTGGGTCCGCCGGCCCCTCTTTGCTGTGTGTACAGAGCTGTCAAGGGAGGATTTACAGAAAGCAGCGACCATAAAAAAAGATCCATGACAGGAGAAATCATAGCCATAAGGCCAGGAGCAAATACAATAAACCTCAGCTCTTGTTTCCTCTTCAAAGATATTAAACTTGTGACGGGAGCGAAGAGCAGGGCACGGATTTCTTCACAAAACACCAGCGGCTCTTTCTTTGCATTTCATCTATTTGTGGTCAATTGTGAGGTGCTGGGTTTGTTCTCCTGGTGCGCAGCAATTGTTTTGCTAGACAGCATGAGGTGCCTGTTGGTCGTTTAGCTCCCCTGCCATCTTGAAATCAATGGGATGATGTTTCAGGGTTTTTAAAAAATTCAGTTTAAAGTCATGGGGTCCTCACACGCTTTTTGGGTCCGTGTACTCATCCTCTTGGGAAAACTTTTAATCTGTTTTTAAATGATGTTGTGTATTGGTCACGGAGGTGACACGGGCTTTTAGAATAGTTGCATATGAGGTTTTGTCCTGCGCCCACCCACCGCCGTGCTGGCTGCCTTTCACAGCCTCTAGCCACTACTGCTGTGGTGCCATTTTAAATAATTTTAAATGTTTTTCGCCTTTCACAGCCTCTAGCCACTGCTGCTGCGGTGCCATTTTAAATAATTTTTAAATGTTTTTTTTTCTTCTTCTTGCAATAGTATAGAATGACAGATTTTAAAAAAATTAAACAGAGGTCTCCTTGCCTGACAGATGTGCATGGAGACAGATACGAACCCATACAAACCTGCCAGGAGCAGACTTTGTCTAAAAGGGCAGGATAGAAATCTAATAAATAAATAAAAATAAATAAACAAATAAATACTGGGTGTGTGTGTGTGTGTGGAGAAGGAGAGGGAGCATGAAAGGCACAGCAGTGAGTGGCAAACCCCACAGCCTAATTTACACCAACACAGGTATTTACAGCTGCCAGAATGATAGAAAATAAATTGATTTCACAAGTGATTTAAAACAAACGACCCTCTTATAGCTGAGTAAAATAACTTGCTTTCCAATTTTAAAAAAAGCACAATTCCCAGGCAACGCCCCCCCCACACACACACACAATAAAAAATTCAAACACAGGCAACGCGATTCAAATAGGTAAAGGTTCCCCTTGACATTTTTAGTCCAGTTGTGTCTGACTCTAGGAAGTGGCGCTCATCCCATTTTTCAGGCCGTAGAGCCAGCGCTTGTCCGAAGACAGTTTTCCGTTGTCACGTGGCCAGCGTGACTAGGGAACGCCGTTTTACCTTCCCACCGAGGTGGTACCTATTTATCTACTTGCATTTGCATGCTTTCGAACTGCTAGGTTGGTGAGGAGCTGGGACAAAGCGACGGGAGCTCACTCCGTCGCATGGATTCGATTTTACGAGTGCTGGTCTTCTGACCCTGCAGCACAGAGGCTTCTGCGGTTTAGCCTGTAGCAGGTGTTTTTTTTCCCCTGCATGTAGCCACGCTCTTAGACAAAACTCAGATAACTGCTGGGTGAAGAAATCTGTGTCAATGTATTCTCTAAGGCTTTCATGGCCGGGATCCAATGGTTGTTGTGGGTTTTTCGGGCTCTTTGGCCGTGTTCTGAAGGTTGTTCTTCCTAACATTTTGCCAGACTTTGTGGCCAGCATCTTCAGAGGACAGGAGTCAGAGCACAGAGTGCTGTCCTCTGAAGAGGCCGGCCACAGAGACTGGCGAAATGTTAGGAAGAACAACCTTAAGAACATGGTCAAAGAGCCCGAAAAACCCACAACAACCATCAGATCTGTGTCACTTAGTGACCACGGAACAAGAATCCACTCATACAGAGAAAAGGTCTTATTTTGAAATGTCCACTGTGTATGTTGATTCCTGCAAGGAATGTCTCTGCTACCATCCAAAA